AAGGTCCTGCATGACTTTGGATGGCTTCACTTGGAAGCATAGAGGAAATGTTTCCTCTGTGTTGACCCTCCTCTTTGTAGACTGGTTCAAGCCTATCTGGTGGGGTCTCCATGGCCTCCTTGATCAAGAGGACAGGTGATTCACCACAGTTCCAGGACATTTTGAGAGATGCTCCATAGTACCCTGGAACTTGGTCGACCTTGGAGTGCAAAGAGCAAGAACTGTCCTTTAAGTCCCTCTGACCAAATTAGTAAAGGCCTCAAAGCATATCTGTTAAACATCCAAGAAGTTAGTTCTATCAGTCTGATACTTTTAATTACCATGTGCTATGAAGGTAAAGCTTAGGCAAAGACCAAAGGTTCTCAGATAAACCTTAACTAGACATATATTATGTTCCTTGAGCTAGTTGTATGTATAATTTGTCAGTAGGTTGTTGGACTAAAATGGCCCCTCTTTTTTTTTTTTTTTTTTTAATTAAACCAGCTAGGCATTTTTTATCTCTCGCATTGTCTAACCCTTCCACCGTGGTTTCCCCATTTAAAGTGCCCCCATTTTCCCCATTTCTCCCTTAATAATACCCTTCTCCTATGGCCCACCTCTCTTGAGTCTCCTTTCCCTTTATCCCTAAGGGTCCTTATATAACCCTTCCTCCCACCTCCCCTTAAAATAACCCCATTTTAATCCATATCTCCCTTATTAACACCTGTTTCCTTCTGTTCTTCTGTTTCAGATTCAGGAACCTCCCTGGTTCTTTTTCATTATCCTGGTTCCTGTAGTTATGTCTGGATATATACTCACTTAGAAGGATTTGGTGCTAGGATCCACATACGAGGGAGAACATACGTCGTTTGTTTTTCTGAGTCTGTGTTATTTCACTTAATATAACAGTTTCTAGTTCCTTCCATTTACCTTCAAATTTCATCTTTCTTTACTGCTGAGTAAAACTCCATCATATAAATGAACCACATTTTCATTACCCACTCGTCAGTGGATATGGGTCTGTAGTTTTCTTTTTTGGTTGTATCTTTACCTGGCTTAGGTATTAGATATTAGATGGTTTCATAGAAGGAATTTTGGAGTTCTCCCTCCATTTCTATCTTTTTGAATAATTTGAGCAGTATTGGTTGTAGATCTTCTTAAAATGTCAGGTAGAATTCTGCTGTGGATCCATCTGGTTCTGGGCTTTTATTATTATTAGCCAGGAGGTTTTGTATTAGTGTTTCAATTTCTTTTTATGTTGTGGGTCTGTTTAAGCTGTTAATCTCTTCTTGGTTTAGTTTTGGTGGTTTCCATGTCTTTAGGTATCTATCCATTTCTTTGAGGTTTTCAAATGTAGTAGCATATAGGTTTTTAAAGTACTCCCTTATAAAGTTGTGGATCTTTCTGGTGTCTGTTGTCATGTTTCCCTTTTCACTCTGATTTTGTTGATTTGGAGGTGCTCTTTCTTTCTTTTGGTTAACTGGGCTAGCGGTCTGTCAATCTTGTTCATCTTTTCAAAGAACCAGCTCTTGGATTCGTTG